AGGGGTGGAGGAGGAGGGGAGGGGGAAGGGGAGAGATTGGATAAGGGGCATAAAGAATAAGTATGATTTGTAACAATGAATATGCTAATAAAACAAAACAAAAAATTTAATAAAAAATAAAATCTCTGTAAAAATCTATAAAAAGTGGGTTAGGTGATCTCAAAGGTAAGACATTTCTGCTTTACAGTGACCCTTGTTGATTTTCCTAGACTTCTCACAGGTGTCCCCATTGGATGCCATTCCCATACTGGGATTCTAACTTGATTTCCTAGGATTGGTTTCTGAGCCCCAAGTTCAATCCAAAGAAATCCATTTATAAACTACATCTCAAGCACAAATGAAACTAACTCCATAATAGAAAACAAGAAAAAAAAGGGGGTGGGGGGGACAAAAAGAAAGATTTCTACTTAGGGATGTTAGTGGTATCAGGATTTCAAAATGCCTTTTTATAATTATTTGTTAATTCACTTTTCTCTATTGTTTTATGTTTTGCAATAAAAGAAAAAAGAATTTAAAAAATCTTGAAGCTGGCTGGGAGCAATAGGGGTGGAGTTGAAATACGAAGGCACAAATGACGTGGGCAGAGGTGGGCAGAGCTGTGGATGACAGCAACAAAAAAGGAGAGAAAGTGATTGGAGAAAGAAACAGCTGGAACGATATTTATTCAAAGACAGCTCATTAAAGGACGTGGAGCACCTGGCAGAAGTGGCAGTCGTCCTAAATTAGGAAGAAACTTCCAACGCAAGTTTCCCTGAGAAAAATGGGCACCAAGGGCAAAGTAAGCAAATAAGCTGAATCTCTGCTCAGTTTGTGCTTTATTGTGTCTTTGTACATTTCCTGAAAGAAGCTTCCTTCAGGGGTTACTGTCAGAAAACAGCAACTTAAAATTGATGAAAAAGATATGACTGGCCCGTATGCTAAGAATTTATTCTAAGGAAATAACAGTGAATTTGCCAAAATGTTTAATACAAGGGTGTTCAATTAAATATTATTTAAATAGACAAAAAGAGAGATTTAAGTAACTATTCCATAACCATAAAATAGAAGATGCATTTGTTAGAAATAATGTTGGAGAAGAATATGGAAAATATTCATAGTATATTAATAAGTAGAAAAAAGTAGATTACAAAAGACTGCACACAATATGATCCCATTTGGGGATATTCAAAGGATTTACATCAAAAGCATAAAGTAGGTGATAAAGGTAATATGTTTATTTGTAATAAGATGTTTAAAAACATAATTCAAAATTCCATAACAACTATAGAAAAATATGTATTCGTGTGATCCAAGACTGGGAAAATGATACCAAATGTAAAAATAGTAGTGTTAAAATGGAGAATTATAGGTTTGTTTCTTTCTACTTTCTTTCAATGTTGCCTATATTTGAAATTAAAAATATAACAAGGCTAGAAAATAATCCAGGGATTATAAAATTCTAAATGCTTAAATTTTTCCATTTTTACCCAAATTTTTGCAAAGAGACCAAATTTTTTTTTAATTTGTAATCTGCTGATAAATTTAGCAGTCATGTAAGTCTCACTTCCCACACTTTTAATAAATCACCTGGGGATTTTGTTCAAATGCAGATTTTGATTTAGTGGATTTGGGGCAGAGCTTTCACGTCTAACAAGTTCCCAGGTAATATGAATAACTGCTGGTCTGAGGACCACACTTTGAGTAGCGAGATGTAAAACATACCTGGATGTTACAGCTCTAAGGACTCCGATAATTCAGAGCTGATTACAGATGGTTCAGTCAACCAATATTTATTGGCCATCGACCCTGCCCAAACCATATACATATATCCTCTCTGTTATGCAGGAAAAAAAACAAGGCATTATATTAAGGTAAACTTTAACATACCTGTTCTTCTCCAAAAAGAAAAAGTGTAATGACTGTAATGTAGAATTTAACTTCTTATTTTCAGTTAAGACCACTTGTCTTTAAAATAATGTAATTGTATATAAAATCCAGCCACAAACTCCTTAACTCTTTGTCATAAATTATGGTATCAATATACTCTAATTTTTCCCCACGATGTCCTCATTCTTTCACCCTCCCTCCCTCCCTTTGTCAACATCTTTCTTCCTTCCTTCCTTTCTCTTTTTCTCTCTCTTTCAGATTATTAAATGCAAAGCAGCTGTTGCCTGGGAAGCAGGCAAGCCCCTCTGCATTGAAGAGGTAGAGGTAGCTCCCCCCAAGGCTCACGAAATTCGCATTCGGGTGAGTAGGGACTGTCCCTGGGTGAGGACAGGCAGGCCCCTAAGTGCAGACTTGGCATCTATCAGATCAATCCTATGTGGTATGACTAAGAGGCTTGGAGTTTCCATTATGGGAGAGTTGTATTTTTAGGCTCAAATAAAAACAGGCACTATCCCCAGGAGGGATAAATTATTAATCACTTGAGTAAATTTTGGTAATGGGCTTAAAATTTAATTGAATTATCTTAACATTAATCATTTACCCTAAGAATCAGACAAAGGAATTCACTTTGGATTAGAGTTAGTTAGGTTTTCTTTTTGTTTTCCAATTGCAGTCACTGGAAAGTGTTATTAAAGGGGAAACAGAGAATTTGGTCCAAAATAAAGCAGAGAGAAAAACTGACAGGCTGCCTGTAAGGAAAATGAAAAATGGTCAGGCTCCCTCAGCTGTTCAGAACGTTGTCAAGCATGACCTAACCTGTTTGATGTTACTATGTTAACTGCGCACATGCACCCAGGTGTTCCTTGGCTATTGTCTTATGTAATTGCACATGTGTGCCCAAGTGTTTGGTTATCTGACTCCCACCCAGGTGTCTCTGGGTTGTCTGACTTAACTATAAAGGTCAAACACAGCTCTGATCCACAATGCCCCCCTGGGATGCCCCTGGGAGGCTACCTGGGGGCCGCTGGAGGCTGCTGCTGCTGCTGAGGAGGCTGGGGGCTGAGCTCATGTCCAAATAAAGCATGTTAACCTTGCCAACAGCTCCAAGGATCTTTCCAATTACCTAGCTCATGACCTGCATATGAGGGGTCTGTGACCCATTCTGTACAGGCCAGGTTTGAAGGTTCTGTGACCCAGCCCAACACTGCCCTGGGCAGCACAAGGGTCCTGGGTGCCCAGAGGAAGGAACAGGATGGATTAGCAGGGAGAAGAGACTGCATCAGGTAAAGCAGTATCACAGATGGCAAGTTTGGCAATTTCTCCATCTTTCTCAGAGCTGGCCAGGCTCATGTTTTTCCTCTGAAACACCCCACTAAGAGTTTGTACACAAGAATGAATGGGACATTCTCATGAACAAAATCTTGAAGAATACAGGGATACATTGGTAATTAATGTAGACAATCCTATATTTGGTATCTCCGTTTTAACTATAAAAGGTATATTCCCTCACCTTAATTCCATGTAGTATCAACAAAATTTGAATAAGCCCCAGAAACCTGTGTACCCTCCATCCCCTCTGCCTAGGAGACTTTACCTCTTCCCTATTACCTTTGATTTTTCTTCTCCTGGAGACAATAATTGCCAGTCCTATCTCTTTTTATTATTTCTTTGACAACAATGAAAGAAAACAAAGGTGCCTTATAAAAGAAAAAGAATCTATCCTAGTATGTTTTTATTTGTTCTCTTTTTTCAAAATGGAATTTTTTAATTGAGTTCTACGAGAGAAGTAAAGTTTCACGATGATGTCAGGCCTAAAATTACATGTAATATCCAGCCCAATAACATAATTGCAGATACACACCTCAAGTCTGTGATTTCTTTGTAGATCATTGCCACTGCCTTGTGCCACACTGATGCCCACGTTATCAATCCTAAATTTAAGGAGGCTTTTTTCCCAGTGATCCCTGGCCATGAGGGTGCAGGAATTGTGGAAAGTATTGGGCCAGGAGTGACCAATGTCAAACCAGGTATTTTATTTTCTGATTCCAATGAAATATAAATGTCGGGATATTTGGGGAATAATTCCTAATACAGTCTGAGCTTTACATGCTGTAATTGGTCTCTATTTACATAGGGGGACTATCTTTTCCGAAGCAAAACTGCGACACAAAATTCATTACAGTCTAACAATGAGACAGAACATTTGAAATCAGAACTGTCTAATAAAATCTGGGAAATATGGTCACTTTATTTACACATAGCACTGAGAAATTGTCCTATGAAGCACAGTTACAATGTTAGCTTAAACTGAAGCTTCCATGGTGCACTAATGACACTTTATAACAATTTCATGTATATTAAAGCAGAAAACTATTTTAATATTATATAAAGAATGAGGACTTATAGGTAGTTTAAGTGAGAAATATTATACATATGCCAATGTTAGCTTGAGAGTCTTTTTGGAAGTTTGTAAGATAAAAACAATACCTAAATGAAGCACACCAGTAGCTGAAATTATTAACATCACATTTTACAACAGATCCACCAGTACTGGAATATGGGCTGTATAATCCACATTTGTCAGGCAGGATGAACCATATCACTCTTTCCTTCCTTAATGAGAATGCTCCAAACTTAGAGTGTATTAGTATCTTTCCATTCCAAAAAAGATCCTAGAAACAAATTGGTCCCAAAAGTTTTGCATCCATGAGGGAGTCTAGCCAATGAAATTTTTTTAGTTCCAGCTCTGCCCCTCATTTACTGGCTATGTGACCTTGGCCAATTATGCGGCTTTTCTGTGGTTCAACTCAGGTTTCATTTTCTAAAGTGTGGATAATAATAATGTTCATCTTAGAGGGTTGTTCTGAGTATTAAGTGAGATAATACACAAATAGTTAGAATGGTTCCTGGCACATACTGAATGTTGAACAAATGTGAATTATCGTCATTGAACATTGGTCCTCAAAGAACAGAGCCATTACTAAATTGGACTCGAGTAAAAAAATGAGAAAATGTGGAATTTGAGAGTCAATCTAAATGGTGAAATATGGCAATGATATAAAGTTTATTCTCTGTATCTAGCCTATTATTGTTCACCTCTCCTTGTTCACCTCTTCTGTTCTATATAATGTTCCATACATTTTAAATGTAATAATAGTCATGATGCAAAGAGTTGCAATAACAGCAGAATTTCAGACAGGACTGTGCACCTAATGAAATCAGTATTTGTTGCTTGACTGTCCAGTGGAGTAATTAAAACAAACAAACAAAAAGAGACAATACGAGTATATGCAATTCTTGGGGGGATCTGCAATCTTGTAAGGTAATGAAATATTGTAGCCACCTATGCTTTCTGCTGAATATAATATGTATAAAGAATGATGTTTTCCACTGATTTGTAAGTAACATCTTAGACACCATTCAACATAAGACCTTTCTTTCTAGGTGACAAAGTAATTCCACTCTACACACCTCAATGTAGAAAATGCAAGTTCTGCCTGAGTCCACTTACAAATATTTGTGAAAAACTCAGGTAAGGGGCTGAGCCCGTGGCGCACTCGGGAGAGTGCAGCACTGGGAGCACAGCAGCGCTCGCGCTGAGGGTTCAGATCCTATATAGGGATGGCCGGTGCACTCACAGCACTCACTGGCTGAGCGCCGTGCGGCTGGTCTCAAAAAAAAAAAAAAAAAAAAAAAAAAAGCTGTATATTTGGTCTGATTCCAATTATTTGGGCCAGCCCGGAGGCACGCTCGGTAGAGTGCGGCGCTTGGGAGTGCGGCGGTGCTCCCGCCGAGGGTTCGGAACCCATATAGAGACCGGTCCGCTCACTGGCTGAGCGCGGTGCGGGCGCAACACTGAGGGTAGCGATCCCATTGTCGGTCGCAGTGCGGGCACGACACCGAGGGTTGCGATCCCGTTACCAGTCACGAAAAAAGACAAAAACGAGGGTAGCGATCCCATTGTCGGTCGCAGTGCGGGCACGACACCGAGGGTTGCGATCCCGTTACCAGTCACAAAAAAAGACAAAAAGGGAAAAAAAAAAAAAATTCAGGTAAGCTCTCTATACTGTTAGTAAGAGTACAAATTGGTACAAATATTTTGGGAAGCACATTGGTAATACCTAAATGGAGTTGAAGAGGTACAAACCTTCCATCCACCAATTCCACTGCTAGGTATGTACAAGACACTGATGCAAATGCACACAAAGAGATACATGCTAGAATGTTTATTGCAACATTGTTTATAGTATCAAGCAACTGAAAAGCACAAATGTCCATCAATAAGAAAATGGATTAATAAATAGTTGTGTAGTAACACAATGGAATGCTATACAACAATGAAAATGGCTAAACTTGAACTACATGTATCAACACAGAATAATCTCACACACATAACGTTAACGAAAAGAAGCAAGTATGAAGGATATATTTAGTAAGGTGTCATATTTAAAAGCATACGTTTTTGTGTATGTTCGAAAAGTAAAAATACATTACTGGAATGATAAATGCCAAATTCAGAATAGTAGCTGCTTGTACAGGGATTAGAGAAGGATGCAATGGGGCACAGTAGAGTAATTTACTCCAAGGCAACATAGATTTGTCTTGGAGCCAGGATTTTAACCTAGGCAGTATGGCTCCAGTGTCTAAAATCTTAATCATCTGTGTTTACTAAGACTACAGAAAGATCCTTTTGTTCTTAATGCTAATTGAAACTACTTATTTAAGAAACTAAACTGTATGACACTTAGATCTATTATTGTGCCTTCATTTCCTCATCTATAAAATGGCAATAATAATAATGCCTGCTTCATAGGATTGTTGTAGATATTCAAAGAATTAATACACTCTTTTACAAACCTGTAAAGAAATAATAGATTTAAACAATGACCGTAAATTCTTTCTAATATCACAAAAGAGAGATAATCAGTTGTATGTCCCTCCAGATGAAATACACACCACCACCTATGAAGTTTTCCAACAAAAAATATAAAACCAGAATCAGATCAAATGTTTAGATCAAAACAAGATGAAATACAGGGATGGAGAAATATGTTAAAATATGCTAAAGGAATGTAATTAGCAAAACCCAGAATGAGAAAAACTCTATAGGACTAAATGACTAAAACTCTATAGGTCTAAATGACAGTTTCTTCAACAAATAAATTACAATGAATAAAAGGGGGGAGGAAGGAATCTATAAATTAAGAGACTTAAGAAATATATCAATCAAATATACTATGTGGAACAAAAAGAATCTTTTAGAGATACATACTGAAATATTTACAGATGAAATAATGATGTCTGGGAGGGATAATAGATGAAAATAGACTGGCCGTTGAGTTGGTAGTTACTGGGGCTGGGACATAGACACGTGTAAGTCCATCATGCTATTCTTTCTACTTTCATATGTTTGAGCTTTCCATAATAAAAAATGTTTGAGTTAACAAATGTAAATCCCTCTAAAGAGTTTCTGGCACATGAAAAACATTCAACAAAAGTTTGTAGTTATTATTTTTAAAATAGTTCTAACAGACTATATATTAATGTCAAAAGTCTCAAGTTATTCTCAGTTTTTCCATTTTATAAAATTGTCATAACAAACATATAATACCCAAAATATATGATATTTTGTGGAAAAGTGACCAGGGTCCCATTACTTTTTCATTATTTGTATCTTTTTTGTTTGTTTTTAATTTTTTAGTCAAGTTAAACATCCTATTGCTGATCAAGAACTAATGGAAGACAAAACCAGCAGATTTACCTGCAAAGGAAAACCAATTTACCATTTCATGGGAATCAGTACATTCTCTCAGTACACTGTGGTGTCAGATATTAATCTTGCCAAAATAGATGATGATGCAAATTTAGAGAGAGTTTGTTTGATTGGATGTGGGTTTTCAACTGGCTATGGCGCTGCAATCAACACTGCCAAGGTAAATGGTTAAACGCCAGGTTGTAAAAAACAGGTGTTACTAGGAGGCAATATGATGTAAACAAACTGGAGTTAATTCTCTTCAAACTCTGGCTATGTCATTTATTACCTCTGTGATTTTTCAAGTTATTAAAACCTCTCTAGAATAATAGCTACTACAAATACTTATGGAGATAATTAAATCATATTCCATATGTACATCTTTCCCAGTAGCCAGCATCTAGCTGGCACCCAGTGCACGTTATGTACTATATTAGCAAGGTATATTATAGACCATCCCTGATTTAAATACAGGCTGCTTAAATATGTCCCCTAAATATGAATGCGCATTCTGGAACAATTGACCCAATCAAAAGGCACCTGTCTGTGTAGTATTTTTCCACCACTATAACACATAATCCAGTTATAGCATCTTTCCTTACTATCTTGTGTATTGTTTCCATTTATACAATGTAACAAACATTTGTTAAAGACTCAGCATTCAGAAGAATCCTTGACAACAATGTAGAAGATAAAAGTCTCTGCCTTCAATTTAGCCTTTTAAAGAAACACACACACAGTCAAGGCAGATTATAAATTATGTGATGTAGAAAAAGCAAAAAGATAGCCACTGATTTCTGATTGAATAATCAAGAAAAGTCTCATGGAGAGAATGTTCTTTAAGTCAGGCCTAGAAGTATAGGTTATATTTTCGTTATAGAAAATACAGCAAAAAGTACACCTCTTCATACAGCTTAGAGAAGAGCATGAACTAAGGGAGAGGAAAGCATAACAATTATTTTGTGGCTGTTGTACTGGGAATATCATAGAGATGAAGTTGGAAGGTAAACAGAGGTCAGATAATAAAAAATCCTTCAATGCTATGCAAAGAAGTTTGGATTTCATTCCATTTAAACGAATTGATGATTTGGAGTGATCAAATGAGTTAATATACATTTAGTGAATTATTAGTGGTCATTCAAAATTAACTGTAACATTAATACGACCTAATAAGTTCTATTAGAAATATAGAGGTCAAATTATTTGTGATCCAATTTTAAAAGGAAAACAATAAACCCCATAGAATATGTGGACTTTCAAATTTTGTTCTAACACTGAAGGAAAATTAAAACAAGAGAATTATTTTCGCTTGGATTTGTTTCTTCTGAGCTGATAATCTTAATGGTCCTCAAATGATTCTCCAAATTTAGGTAGTAACACGTCTGTTTTCACATTGGCAGATTTTCTTTATTGGCTATATCATATAGTTTTATAACATGCAGTCTTTCATTTACATGTTCATGCCCCCACTTAACCCTCCCCCTTAAAAGAAAAAAAATAATGGAACCAGCTGCCTTAAAAGTTACTTTAAAATTTTCCTACCTGCAGGTCACCCCCGGTTCTACTTGTGCTATTTTTGGACTCGGAGGTGTAGGTCTTTCTGCTGTGATGGGTTGTAAGATAGCAGGAGCTTCCAGAATCATAGCTATTGACATCAACAGTGAGAAATTTACAAAGGCCAAAGCCCTGGGAGCCACTGACTGCCTCAATCCTAGAGACTTAGATAAACCCATCCAGGAGGTCATCATTGAATTGACCAATGGAGGTGTGGATTTTGCCCTTGACTGTGCAGGCGGACCTGAAACCATGGTATGTATATTTTTTCCTTGGATCTTATCTTCAATTTATTCTTTGACCATCAAATAATAGGGAAGAGTAGGTCACATTCATTACAGTTTTCAAAAGTGGTGACAGGGAAATAGAACTGTCCGCTACAAATCATTTCCCCCGCCCTCAGCTGTACTGCATTTCCTTCAATGCCTACTGATAGTCCCCTCAATTGCCAATACTATCTTTGTGGTTCACTCTTCTCGTGTGATAAGATAAGCAGCCATACCAGCATTATTTGCAGATTATTTATTGGTATTGATTTTTCTTTTGAGATCCTTTTAAGAAGCTCAGTATTATTAGACTGGAAGTAGTGTTTTCTAATTTCGTTTTCCACAGTAATTTCAGTTGCCTCTTTCTAAAAGACAGTTTTTGAGGTTTCTTCATTTTAATTAGCTGAAGTTCCTTTTGACTATTAAGTCAGATAAAATGTGGAATGCATTAGCTAACTTGAAGCACTCTTTAGCAAAAGATATAAAGAAATTAATTAATTGCAATGCATAAATGAATAGAATTAGTACCTGTCTGCTTAACTATTTTATGTATTATATACATATGTTACTGTTATTAATATTTAATATTTGTTAATATGGTGTATATTTTATATAATACTGTATAATAAATCTTTATTAAAATTAATAAACATCAATGTATATGTATATCTTTATATTTATTTAGTTTTATTTTTAATGTTAATATGTTTATATTTATATTATAATATTTTATAATCTTATACCACAAAAATGGCACAAAGGATGGGTGGGGTGGAAAATAGAATTTACTATTATAAGGTCATATAAGTGTTAACTAGGAAATGAAGTGTGAAGTTGTATAATATTGATTCCAAACAGATCTTCATAAGTTTTAGGCCTAGAGCAACTACTAAATATTAATAAAAAGAAGTACAGCTAAGAAGGCAATAGAAAAAATAAAATGGGTACTAAAAAAAAAAATTGGTTAATCCATTGTTAAGAAGCTGGCAAGGCAAGCCACATACTGGGAGCACATTGATTCCAAACAGATCTTGATAAGTTTTAGGCCTAGAGCAACTACTAAATATTAATAAAAAGAAGTACAGCTAAGAAGGCAATAGAAAAAATAAAATGGGTACTAAAAAAAAAATTGGTTAATCCATTGTTAAGAAGCTGGCAAGGCAAGCCACATACTGGGAGCAAATATTTACAATATATATATTCCAAAAAAAGGACTTATGATATATAAAAACTCCTACAACCTAATAGTAACAGTACAAACAATTCAATTTTTAAAAATGGCCAACAAGCACATGAAAAGATGCTCAAGATTACTAGTTATTAGAGAAATGTCAACTTATTTTTATTAGCATATTCATTGTTGCAAATCATACTTATTCTTTATGCCCCTTATCCAATCCCCCCTCCCCTTTCCCCTCTATCTTTCCCCCTCCCCCCTCTAATAACCATAGATTTGTTCTCTCCATCTCACAGGTTAAATCTTCCTTTGCTGGTTTGTTGCCTAGATGATCTGTCCAGTACTGAGACAGGTGTGATCAAGTCCTCCCCTATTACCATAAATCAGATGTTTCTTCTATTACCCTGGAGTGCTTTGTGGAGAGAAATGACATCTTTTTTGTTTTTGGTCTCCGCTGGTGCCTCTCCTTGTGTTGGTGCAGTTGAGAGTCTGGCATGCCATCAGCACAGTGGCTGTGACTGCTGCTATAGAGACTAGCCACTTTTGTGGCAGCCATGGCAATTGCAGTGGCTATGGTGGGTTACCTGCTTGAAAATGGTGTTTTTGGTGTGCTCTTGACCTGGTTGTGGCTGGGTTCAGCTTCCACCAGCTCCATAACTCAGGACGCCAGTGGAGGCAGCTTGCCTAGTTGCAGCTGGGTTCAGCTTCATCCAAATCCATGCCTCATTCTAAGATGTTGTTGCAGAGCAACTGGGCGGGGTGGGGGGGGGCAAAGGGAAGAGGAAAGAAAAGAGGGTGGGAAGAGGAGGAAAGGGGGGGCATGACTGAGGACTGTGGCACCCCCCTCATTCCAGCAACTTCATGAACTCCGTAGGTCTCTCCTCCTCTTCTCCTGAGCTCTAGTGGCCCCAACTTGGCAGTTTGTTGCTTTTCAATAGTTTTAAATTGATTGATTTGTGGGAGAGAATGACACTAGGGACCGTCTATTCCACCCTCTTGACCAGAAGTCAGAAATAAATATTTTAAAAGAATTGTGCCTTATGAGAAGTGAGCCCCCCCCCCAAAAAAAAAAAAACAGAAAAGGCAGATTTAGAGGAGGGAATAGAAAAGGTGTTTCCTAACAGCTGAGAGGTATCCACTCCTATCTTAAAATAAAGCAGAGAGTGGTTAGCAACCTACAAACAATCCAGTTCTGTGTGTCAGATCTCAATAAATGGGATGCAAGATTAGGTCCAAATGACATATTTGAAATTTTCTATATTTAAAAAAGAAAGAAAGAAAAACACATTGCAAAATGAAAAAGTGCATCTTTTTTTCCTGAACACTAGAATTTTGTATTATTCAGATTTCTTTTCTTAGGACAGGCTACATAATCCGCAGGGCCCTTCTGAGCGTGGGGCCCTGAGTTGCTACATTGGTTGCATGTCCATGAAGCCAGCCCTGTCCATTCTACTCCAAAAAGTGGGGTAAAGAGCCAGTTGCAACCTATTGGCAGTGCATGGAAAAGGTAGCTTGTTAGAGTGTCCAGCCTTACGTTCCAGTGAATCAGAGAATAATCACCTAATACATATTTGCTCAAAGATACTAAGCAGAGTTTTGCAGGGGGTTGTTTTGTTTTTGTTTTAATGAAACAACCAAAGAATTTATCAACTGAACTATCTGCCTATGCATTCTTATTTCATTAGTGAGAGCTATGAAATAGTTGTGAAGTATTTACAATGTCACTTAGCCTGGCTCCTAAACCCTCCCCTGGGGAAGGTATAAGAATAAAATGCAGTACTTCATGCTCCCAGAAGTAGGCTTTGTGCTGGTTCTTCTTTTTGGTTCTTACCTGACTGGTGCATTCCCCAGCAGAGAAGGGAGACTTAGGAAGAGCTATGATGAGAGCAACAGGCTGTTATTCCTCAGTCATTCTTAGAACGGTTTCCTTATAATATATGTAAACTACTTAAATGTTATTTGGCCAGTAACAAGCACTCAATAAACAGTAGCTATTACTGAAAATGCATGCATTAATGGCTCCTTATCCTACAGAGTTCCCCCATGGTCAAAGCTTCAGGCCCTGATTTTGGATTGACTTTGGCACCTGCAGCCTGCAATGTGCCACATTCCTTCCTCCATTTCCCACAGCTCAAATTTTTTTCACAAATATTGTAATTCAGCCTATTTACCTTGCAAGTATTTTAGTATATGCCCATGGTAGATCATCAAAAACCTGTTGGTTAAAGTTTATAATATCTTTTATGGATCTTTCCTAACTCCATGCATGTGTGCTTCTCTTGACATACAATGATATACATTCTAGATTCAGCCTAACTATGGTATTATACAGAATAAAATAATATATTCTGGTTTTTTTCCAAATCTTTTTTCATAAAGCTCAAAATTGTATCGAACATTCTATTTATAACGGAATACTGGAGCCTCGAGGCTCAAACTACAATGACACTATGACCTAAGTAGCTTGAATCCCATTATTTTATGTGCAGAATTAGATAAATTTTCCCTAAAGCATTGTACATACCCACACTGGAGTTCATGTTCTTCTTTTCTACCTACTCAGCCTTGTGTTTGACTTTCCAGAAAGCAACCCTGGACTGCACAACAGTAGGTTGGGGATCATGTACTTTCATTGGAGTGGCCCCTGGTGACAACGGATTGAATATTTCTCCAGAGACGCTAATAATGGGCCGTACTATAAATGGATCATACTTTGGTGGTCAGTTTTTTTTTTTCTTCATAGTTTTTAATTTTCTTCATAGTAGTACTGAAATTCTTAGAGTGAAGATTATTGAAAGGAAAGGAAAATAATTTGTTTAAGTGAGAGCCTATAACATATCTAAACACTACAGAAAAACTATTCTATTAATTACTTGAAAGTAAACAGTTTATATAGAAAGATAAATAAATTTGCAAGTTGAAATTGCATTTGCATTGAAATGAACCAGCGTAGATGAACAAAAGGTAAACTTTGACCTAATTGAGATAATTCCTTATCTAGCCCAGAAAATAGTCTTGAATTGTTCTTATGAAGGAAATTATAAAAAATAGATATAAGGACAAAAAATTAAAGGTGGAGGGGAGGAGTTTAACCTATTGAAGCAACCCAAATCTGACCTAATAATTTCATTCATTCAACAAGCACTGATTAAACTACATCTTTATGTTAAGTGCCATGTCTTTCTTTATTTGGCATTATGGCCAAATTACAGGTTGGAAAAGTATAGATTCTGTCCCAAAGCTGGTTACTGACTACAAAAATAAGAAATTCGATCTGGATGCATTGGTGACCCATACCCTGCCTTTTGACAAAATCAATGAGGCATTTGACCTAATGAACCAAGGAAAAAGGTAAATTACCAAATAGATGATTGTTTAAAAATTTTTTTTATGATGATTCTATTTTTATTTGATCTTTAGAACTAACCAGTTTGTCTTTTCTGACACTTCCCACTGGATAGTGGTACTGGATATGCTTAAAAGATTAAATAGTGGCTATTTGGAAAATAGAAAAGCTTCCGTTTCAATAATGCACCCTGCTATACATTGTTACAACATACAGTGGTGGTATAAATTGACACATATTTTTCCTTTCACAAACAATAACTCAGTTACTACTGAGTTAACTCGGTAGGGGCTACTCCCTAGAAAAAGAGGTTTTTATAGTATAATAGTATAATATAATGTTAGATTCCTTTTCTACAATGTACCTGAGTCTGGAATCATTATGTTCTGGAATTTGACACAGGGTGCCCACTCCAGGCTTTTCATGATCACAGTTGGGTGAAAACCACAAGGATGTGAGCAGCACGTGGCAGGTATCAGATATGTAAAGGATGCCCCAACTCTCTCATTCTCTTGCTTTGTCCTGGTGCTCCTATAAGACAGCTTCTGGTCCACAATTTTAGCTATATTGTGTTCCTTTGTCATGGATTCTAGGAACTGATTAATAGAAATGTCCCAACTGGGGGATTTCTAGTTGGGGAGTGGATAAGACTAGATCAATAATTTTAGTTAAAATGTTCAAGCACAGCCTTGATCAATAGAAGCAAAGGTCAAAAACCCTAGAAACAATGTTACCTAGAAGAGATGCAGGACAAAGAAGAAATGAAAAAAAGAAGACATAGCAAAAGAGACGGGGAAAGTCTCAAGTAAAATGAAGTTTGAAGTTTGAAGCAGAGAATAAATGTTGCAGAAGAAGAAAACAAGTCCATGATGTGAAGACCCAGACTACTTCATGGGGAAGAAATCTGAGAAAATATCCCCACTGTCATGAACTCCCAGATTGGCAAACATGTTAGCCACAACATTTCAAAAAGAAGTTCAATAAAAAGAAAAGAAAAAATAAACATTTTTAAAGCTACACCATGTAAACTTAGTGTATAAGCCCTGCAATATCTTGCACAATCTCAATAGCCCCATAAGGAGTATTCTGCAAGTTAGAAGTTGGGTTAGGGTTTGGGGCCTTAGACCCTGGTACTCAGATCTCCTCTGCCACAACCCCTTATCCCTACAATTCTCAGTCATGGAATACATCCATAAGGAATGCTAAGAGGGAGCCAGATGGAAAGTGTTGCGATGTTTTATCAGCAGATGGGCAAGTCTCCCATACTCTCTCCAAGGAGGCCTAAGGGTAGACTCCTGAGTGGGGCCTCTTACTTCCTCTCTGGCCCACTGAATAGACCACCTAGCTGCCCACCCAGATGGAATGGTGGCAACCGGGAAGGCAGAGGATGAGCCTCCCCAGGTGCACTCACTGTGTGGGTACAGGAAGGACAAGAGAGGGCAAGTCCTCCTCCCATATCAACTGCACAGAAGCGGAGGGAAGGGGATGGGACACAATGACCAACTGGCCAGTCAAGGTGCAGTGACCTTGCTCCATGGTGAGAAAAGGACACAAAGTTTCTCCCTTCACTGGTAGGTGTACCTTCCAGTTCTTGAGTGAAAAAAATATTTATGCACGGCAACCTACTGAAGCCAGGGATTCCACAGTTCCAGCAGTAGTGTATGAGATAAGGATTCTCTGTCCTTGAGGCTGATTACCCACTTTGCTTCTACATGTTGGAGTTATTCAGGAATAAGAACATCTGGGTTCTCAGAAACTAGCATCCCAACACACTAACCACCACCTCCTTTGGTGCCCAACTTTGTCCTTAGCTGTCAGAGAACTAAGAACAGTGACTATTCCAAGACTAAAACCTCACTGCCCCTTTGGTATGCTCAACAGCAGCACTGGGCAACAAGGACCTCACCCAAGGGCTGAGTGAGGGTCCCCAATTTCCCCCAAGTTTAGTAGCACCATATATAACATTAATGCCGTGGAATGAGTGAATGAATGAATGAATGAATGGAATAAGATTACAAGATAAAAGAAATTAGGCTTAACAAAGTGGGTGTCTGTAAGGAAAAATTAGACCAAATCCTGAAATGAAAAAGCAAAAATTATTTCTGGGCTTCGGTTAAATTTATCATGAAAATTATACTTATTATTGTTTTGTTATTATTAACAGCATCCGAACAATCCTGATCTTTTGAAGATGCCAGGAGCAATTTGGAATACTGTCTGATTGAATCTGAACCTGTCTGGTTAATTTATTACTTGATACAATGAACCAAGGAAAGCTATGAGTTTGAACAAATATTTATGGTTAATGTCTCAACATAAAATAACTATAAGTATAACAGCATTTGAACCCATAAAATATATTAATATTTCCTATGTTAAATAACTGTGATAATTGAAGTGTTTGTGAATTGAATCATATGATGTTTAGGAATTGTTCAAAACTAGTTCTGGGGAGGTGGGAGTGGTGAATGAAGAGATAATATTTAAACTAGATTGGCCATATGTTTATAATTTTTAGGTTGGGTGATGAATATATGGAGTTTCATTATACTATTTCCACTTTTGTCTATGTCAAAAATTTTCCACAATAAAAAGATTTTTACTGGAAAAAAATCAGTGTATATATATATGTATATATAAAATGCTATTATGTAATTTCTGTGTATTAATAAGCTACAAGCTACTCTTTTTAATCAAGCTGCTAAATAATTTCCTTTTTAACATCTGTAAATGTCTCCTCTCTTAGCCCCACTTTATCATTAACTATAATCACAGTAACGGGATTATCAGAATCTACATAAGAGAAGATTTTAAAAAGAAGAAAATACATCTACACTCTCAAATTTCTATCTCTATAAAATAATTGCCCTTTCATTTTTGATAATTATCACAACATGTGTTTAATGTTTTACAGTTTAATCTGTAATTGGCACTAATTAATGCTATTTTCTAAAGTCAACTAAAAGTGACAAAGAGCACTGTACTTATCATAAAGTAATGTAGTAAGTAAAAATATTTATAGTTAAAAATTTAACATATAAGATTTATATAAAAAGTAGAAAAATGGTAATTTTCAATCTATTGTACTCATAGATGTTATAACAGACAGTTTAAAAGGATAAGATAGATAAAAGTTAACTTGGAATAATTTCTGAAACCTACCAGTTTTCTCTAAAAATTGTTTACCATGTGTTGAGCTCTGAGAGAAGATAAATATCTGAAGTTTTGGCTGAGGAGGCGGGTAGTATCTCAAAGTAGAAACTTACATTTCTGCTTATTTAAGATTCTCTTTCATCAGAAATAGAAGCCAGTTAATCTACCTATAAATGCTTCCTCTGTTGGCATTGCGGGGACTCAATGTACCCCACAGGTTGTCGGCCTTTCTCTACTCCCAGTATCAGTTCTGTTCTCTCGCTTCATCCCCTCCCTTCTCTCCTTTGCTTCCTTGAATCCATCCTAGGTTCGGTTTGAGATCCGTTTCCTTTTTAGATCTTTGCAGCCACAAAGCCATTTTCATTCCCTGATCTCCTTTGGTGCTTAGTGTCTTTATCGAAATCTTAACTCATGCTGCTTCCATTGTTAGTTTTTCACATATATGTTTATAAACTCCTTGAAGGCAGAACAATCTTGGAATCCACCCCTCTGTCTATCAGAGATGCTCAATAAATATATATTGCTTGATAACAAAAGTTTACCTTCGTAAGTGTCCAAATAGTTTATATTCACCCTCTTGAATGAAATCTTTCTAAAACATTTTCTATACTTCCCTTTTTTCCTAAATAGAGAATCCCAAATCTAATCTTAATAACTCAGAATAGTCATTATGATCATTGATTTTTATGATAAGTTTTGATCCAGCAGTGTCTGTGTGTCTGTCTCTTTCCAGTCAGTGTTGCAGTAAGTGTCCCTGTCTCTATCAGTCTTGTAATTTTTATGTATGGTTTTGTGATTTGAAAAAAAAAATTCAGATTGTTCTTAACAAAGCTGTTAGAATTATTTATAAAATCAGTGAAACACCGAGTGAGATGTATGGGGTTTAAGGCTTAATCTTGATCATTCCTTCAGCAGCAGAGGCTTTTTTTCTCATCCATGTACCCAGCTGAAACTCCTAGCAAATATAATTTTAGCATAATTCTTCAAAATGTACACATTAGTGTCTAAGTTACCCAATTATATTTCTCTCAAGATAAAGAATAAGTACTGAATCTTTATATGATACTCCAGAGACAACAAAAATCATATAACAGTGATATAATTGGCAATATATAAAAAACTTCCACTTAAGAACTACACTTCAAAGGCATAAAAAAAAAAGTCTGCAAACTTTTCCTGAGTGTTCTCACACTCATTCTTCACTTAAAGAATATTACTTTTGAAAGACTGGAAGCAACACAAGTTATAATACTTACCAGGGGTCAAGCCACTGAAACAAAATTGGAATGGCACTTGACCCCTCCAAATGAAACAAACAAAAAACGTTCTTTTGAAGGTTTGATGGACGATATATTTTCTCTTTTTCTAAAGAATTTCTCCAGAATTACCTCTCCCCCTACCCCAATGCTCTGGTTCAAATATTAAAAATCTGTTCAAGGCACATAAGCCAGGAAACTTCAGGATATTAACGATTATTAAATTTTCAGAAAAAACATTTTTTCGGGAAAAAAATCTTTAAGAATGCCAGTTATAAAGTGCACAATACTTGAATCTAGAAGGCAATACAATCACAGTGTATTCTCCTGAGGGAAAAAATACAGTTTTAAGATTTTAAGAGCCTGTCAGTTTTCAAAATGCTACTACAGCGCCCTCTGGTGTTTTTTGTTTGTTTTGTTTTGTTTTTTACATTTTTCCACCTCCTAGATCCTAGTTTCTTTGAGAAAAAGAATTCAGAAGGGAGAATAATAGCAACTTTCATTTATATCATAGTTGATATTTTTCTTTCTTTTTTTTTCCTTTTTGTCTTTTTTCGTGTCCGGCAACGGATGGCAACCCTCAGTGTCGCGCCCAAACCGGACCAGGACCGGCAACGGAATCGCAACCCTCGGCGCTGCGCCCGCACCTCACTCAGCCAGTGAGCGGGAACCAGTCTGTATGTGGGATCCGAACCCTCGATGGGAGCGCCACCGCGCTCCCAAGCAGTGCACTGTAGCAGTGCGTCACCGGGCCGGCCCCATAGTTGATATTTTAAGAGTACTTTCCTATGTATTATTTCGTCTTACTCTCCAAACTTCTCAGCAGGACCGTAAGCTTCTCAAGAGCAGAGCCACTTTCCTATTCTTTGAGAGCCTTACAGATCGCAGGCCTTCTAGCAACGCACCCTGTGGGGTAGAGGTGGACAGGGCAGACTTTTTTAACTTCATTGAGTGAATCCCGTGCTACAGGTAAAACAGACACGATTTTTCTAACTGGCTTATGAGAATTGTAGCATTTACAAGCTGGACATTATCTTAAGGAGGGATGGGAACAGGTAGGAGAATGTCTTTGTTCTTAGGAAACACTCGCTGAAAAAGTCACAATGTTTGCAACTTCCTTTCAAGTGGTCCATCAAAAAGTGTGAGAGAGAGACAGAGACAGATACAGAAAGAGAAGGAGAGAGAGAAAAAGTAAACGTGGCAAAAATCCTAATCGGTCCATCTAGGTAAAGAACACAGTTATTCGTTGTCCTGTTTTTCAAATTTTGAAATTTTAAAACTTTCCTAAATAAAAGGTTGGGTAAAGAAAGATGGATGGTTTCCAACTCCAAATTCAATAAAGAAATCACTTTTTGAAATACGCCAACCTTGAGTTAAACACCTTCACAGTCTAATTTCTTCCTTATGGCTAAAGCTAAGACCTGCCTTCCTGGTTCTGCTCTCTGGAGCACCATGGAGTAAATCCAGTCCCTCTGACGGGTAACGATGGCTGGCATGCCTCTTCCCCAACCGCCACATCCTCTCCACTCCTAATAAATACCCCTTAGTATAACTTAAACTCAATATTCCATATACAGTCAGAGTAATATACCTATTTGGAATAATATACCAGTAAACGCAGTCTGTATTTATGTATTATTTTGTATCTATCTCCCATTGTTGACAAATACTGAGCTTTATAAAATCCCTAAATATTTCCTCTCTGAAATGCTGTTAAACCAGATCGCTTTTATTGTATAACTCTAAACCCAAGGGTAGACCATTCATCTTCTCTGAAGATTCAAAGCCTTTTTGGAAGGAAATCATAAGTAACAAGGCATTTATTAACATAGAAGAAAAACTCTATCCTCCGTATTTTAATGCTATTAAACAACTTTTTATCCCTTTCTCCATTTCTGCCAATAAAATTCTGTTCCATAGGCCTGCTTATAATGTAGCTAATAAAATTTCAGAACCTAGCCTTAAAATTGAAAGTCTTTATAATTAAACAAAGGAGTCTAAAAAAGAGATGAAAGAGATGCCCTTTCTCCTTGCAGCTATAAAAAGAGAAATACAATTCTGCATCATAAGCTACTTCAAAAAATCTGATTTGGTAAGATATTAAATAAGGAATGTTCGCAAGAATATCGATTTGTTCTTCTCGGCAATATGGACACACGAATATTCATAACTGTTATTAGAATGTCTTCTGTTCTTTGTTAAACAGAAATCCATTCTCTGTTAATATAAATGTTATTTGAACCAAAAGGTCCTGCAAGACTACAAAGGCCTTAGAAAGTGTTGCTCTGTCCTGTGAAAATAATCTCTAAGAGGAATCTGCAATTCTGATTGTCATACTGATAAAGTTATGCCCTGGTGAGAATGTTGTAATTGACACCTCTGTATCTCTAAGCAATATTTTAATTAATTTTTCTGCAAAATTAAAAGAAAATCATTAGCACTTTCCTTTAATCCCACATGCATAACGGAATAATTAAAAGTGTATGCCTTTGTTATATTTTCTTTTTAAATCTGAGAGTCTGAGTCTATTTTTTTTTTAAATCCATGTATGATGGTACAAGAAGCAGCATGACAGGGCAGGAAAACAATTCTATATGCAGAATAAGTGTTGATCCCATTGAGAACTAAGGTCTGCCTCCTCCTTGATATAAGGAATCCAGTGTAATCAACCTGTCACAGAGCAGCTGTCTAGTCCCCCTGAGGTTCTGTACCATGTTTTGTACCCAGGGTTGGTGGTGCTGCTTATCAGTCTGGGCATTCAGCAGTGGCAGAGCTAGACCAGCTTTGGTAAGGGACTATGCTGGTGGGCCCATGCTCATCTACATGGCCACAACATTTAAGAGTTCACTGAGCAAGCACTTGAATGGCCCGGGGAATGACATCCCCAAGGTAGGTCATCTTGTTCACCAGATTATTGACAATGTCCTCCAAATCAGACCTTTTAGTACGAATCACATGGAAAATAAATTTTCTCACACTCAGTGACTGTTATGAAAGTTCCATCCACATATCTCTTCTCCAGTGTTCCTTATTACCAATTTTAAAATCTCGTTCCTTCCATGTCCCAGGTCATCTGACCAAATCATTAGTT